AATATACTTACGAAATTAGTAAATTTCATCATTATAAAAAAATAAGTTCAATGTCTAACAATATAATATGATGTGTATTATGCATATTTTATGTTACTTAAAATCAAAGCATGAAAATCAATTGTTTTTGTATATACCTATCAAGAACCTTTTTTAATAAACGGAAACATTATATTAAGTAGTATTTATGTATTTATATGTACTTCTGAATCCATTTTCATATCTTCCTTGGTAACTACATCATGTTTTACGGGCAATACTCTGTTCAATACATTATAATTTACCGCGTAACAGCTCAGGAAATCCACATAGTTACTAATAACTGTGACCATCAATGTTGTGCCACAAACAAAAATATTTAATGTACTTATTCAAWACTTTTAATTTTCTTACACTTTTTTATTCATAAACTGAAATATTTTTTTTTATTTGTATAAAAATATAATTTAGTGGGTAGAAAAATAAATTTCATTTGATATGAAGTTTTAAAAATTAGTTATATACACAGTTACTATTTTTTAGTGAGTGAAAAAGTAGACAGTCAAAGATTACTAGGATTTTCAGATAATATTATACGACAAATTGTACTTTTTTAGAACGAATTATTACCAGTAAAACCTGAAGTAGTTACCGCTGAAAGAAATGAAAATAGTGTCAGAAGCAATAARTATATAATATTATTATTATAGGTTTACTATTTTCTTTAAAAATATATATGCATATATAAAACGTKTTTATTTAAATCACAGATTTCTGTGTAAAATGTATTATGCCATAAACTATAGACGATAACGAATGATAAAATTATCAATCCGAAATATACACAACTGATTACTAAGAGTACCTACAGTGTTTAATATTTCTATACAATATGCTTATAATAGTTAATCTACACAGTTTAAGCTAAAKAAAATCCCATTTGAAATTATTGGATTATGAGTAGGTTTATGGCATTTTTTTAACACCCAAAGCCACACTATTTGTTCTGCACAATTTCACCTGTGCACTTTAACTTAACACGTAAAACAAATATTTATCTTGAAAATCCATGATTTGGTTTTTCATTTACGATACCAAATATTTTAGTTTCAACAGAAGATACAAAGATACCTACATTAATATTATTATAAACAGTGTTTCTTAAAAGAATTACAATTCATAAATTACATTTTCAATTTTCAGCTTAACATAATAGGTATTTATAATTTTATAAAAAATAAACATATCTTTATTAATAATTTATTTTTATAGACCGAAAGAAATAATATCAAATGTTTAGTAAATTCTATTCAACTTGCAGTTAATATAACGTCATGTGTTTTAATGTATTGCATTATTGTATATTGTACGGATGCGAGAATATTATAATCCATTCAAGCTATTATTTTTTTACATTAAATCGTGATTACTGTGTTCATAATGTTTTAAATCTAACTAAAAACTGTAATGTTTTCAGCCCCCGCTGTGTAATGAAAGAGCATGTCTGGGTAGCGTTATGCTTCCACCGGCATTCCACAACTCAACAGTAAGACCAAAAGCTGAAGTACTAGAACTTGCTGAAGATTTTATGAAACAATATTTCGCCTCCATTAAAAGGTAAGATTTTGTAGATACAAAACAATTTTTGGATTTRCGATTTGTGTCGGCTTGAAATGTGATAACTGATAATTGTACTGATTAGTAGTTTGTAACATGATGTATTTCCTTATGCAATAAACATATTAAACTATTAAAGTATGAGACTTGTAATATAGAATACAGTATAAAAAATTATATGAATACAATAATATTATACTATAAGCCAAGATATTATATTTTAAGTTAAACAAGATCGTGATTTATAGAAACATGAAGTGATTGAAAATAACAATTATTTTCAATATTAGAATATTGATTTTATAATTTTTGATAGACATACGTCAAGGCTATCTTCTAAATTTTTAAATTTTTACTCTTTAACCATTATTAATTCTGTAAATCTAAAATCTAATAT